AGGTCTGAAAACAAATATTACAATAATAAATCATTGTATTACTTCTGACGATGTTTCACTCTTCTTTCTGAACAGCAACCGATGAGACGATGACTGTCGTATTGATGCCTCCGCGAAAATTGGGGAAGTTGATTTTCAGCAAACAACCATGAATTGATCGTTCAATCTTCAACTCCACTGACAACTGCATTCTTATTTCTCAGGCAGAAAGCAGTGCACTATACTATATTCAGGCATACCAGCTAGGTATGCAAATGAATCTAAACGCTTGTAGGGTACACTCATTATTTGTAAGACTAACTAGTATGTTAAAAGTACGATTTGACCAGTTATACAAAGTTTAATATTTTTAGACAATGAATGTACACTGGTTACTTCTGACTCATTACTTAAAGCTACGTAGCTGTCTTAAAATAGTTTCCACTAAAGGTGACCTACCGTAGCTACCACCTTAGTGGGCAACTTAATGTTATCTTTGAGTTACAATGTAAAAGTGAACATCCTTAGAAACTTCTGAATAAAAAATCTTCTCCTAGTCTAAAAAGTAAATATATCCTAATCTCCACGAAAGCGTTTATAGGTATTAATCCCATCGCCTCAAATGGTACACTATTTGCAGTAACTTGAAAGTAAAAATAAATTTATCGAAGACATTGTGCTTATGATTCCTAGATATTGTATTGCACCATAAGGAAAAAGGCAAATCCATGAGCTAATAACAGTTAGACGCGCGATATTAATCCGGTTCTCAGTCACATGCTATCTTTTTGTCTAGTAGTGTCAATGTATGTTTCGCAAAGAAAAAGAAAAGCACTGGTTCAAGGAAAATTTATTTAAGTTTTCTTAAATTCCATGGAAATCCCGCAATTACGCCCATCGAGAAATCATTAACATCGGAAAAGTGAGGATTTGATTATTCGAACTGAGACAAGCAGTTTGTTTTCAGCCAATGTTTTCATCTAGAATAATAATCTGCTTCTCAGCTAGTTGTAAATCCTAAAAACCGCCAACTCAGCCCACAATCCGAACTGTTTTTCTAGTAAGCCAAAGTCTTACCTTTATTTAGGACAATCCATACACTCACCAAGTCATCGTATGCTGTCCGATTTATAAATCGTTTGCAACATATTGAATGGCTGATAACACTGACTTTACCACAGCCAGTTCTAGTTCATGCATATGGATCTGTACATAGGGCATCAACAACCATATGTTCAGTTACCCTGTGGAGGCTTCTGACTGCCTCCAGATCTCTTTTTGTTTCCAACAGTACATAGAAATACCGCATATTCATACTTCACATGTGGCTCATCCTTGTTTAGTCTGAGTTCTCTCACAATATATCTGGCTTTTTATTTGATAATTGACACACTTCAAAAAGGTTCGAAGATTTTCCAAACCCAACCCAGGTTCCGAATTCCACAGGTTCAATATGTTCTTCGAAAACCTTGCTAATAGCAATTCTGGTCGTGCTCTCTTCACCAGACTGACTCGTAGATTGTTGTATGTTGTAAACATGAACGTGAAAAACATTGTTTTTTCCCGTTTTCTACATTTAAGTAAACAACTGAGCCAGCAACAATAACGGAGACCAACAAAGGAACTGGAAACAGCAGCTTTTGCCACCCAAACATATTCCTGTGCATGAATTCCAAAACTTCTACATGGTACTATTTCATTATCAGTTGAAAAACAACTAAAACACTGTAACCACGCATGAATGAAACGTATGAAACAACTATAATTAAATGAATGAACTGACCTGGTGGTAAAAAACAAACGAGACGAATAATTTTAACACAAACGGAAACAAAAGTCAGGTGAAACTCAACATTTTTGAACAATGTGCATCAAGATAAATTGGGGATAACTGCAGGATATACGTAAAAGCCAATGTGTCAACGAACGGTTGGGGAACGGCAGTCCAACAAAACCGACTAAAGTGGGTGAAAGTGACCTTCAAGCGTCTGACTCTTCCAGTGATTTTGAGTATGTAGGATATTTTCACTCCAAAGGAAAGTTTTATGTAACTAAGCAAACGTAGCGCAACGATCGACAAGTGCATCGAGGTCGTGCATCAAAAGTTAAGAAAGCCAGTATAGGTGCTTTCATTTGATATGAGTATAAAACTTGGGCACTGTGGTAGAGTATAACTCCATTATGGATAAGATTTTATTTTGATATATCACAGTGTTGTACAGTTATATTAACTGATGACGTTTCGAGCACAAACTACTGCTCATAATCATATCAAGTTGCTCACACAACTGTTTTGCTTCATTTATATACATGTGCGGAATCGATTAGATATTGGATAGATTTCACAAATGTATATAAATGAAGGTAAACAGTTGTGTGAGTAACCTGATATGAGTATGAGCAGTAGTTTGTGCTCGAAACGTCATCAGTTAATATAACTGTACAGCACTGTGATTTATCAAAATAGAATGCCTTCACTTGTTTACTTTCCCTATAGAACTGGACTATAAAGCTGTAGGGAGTCATTTCAAGCAGCACTACCCCAGGGCAATCTAATCCTTGATCCACTGGTCTATCAGAAAGTGATGAAAACACTACCCCTGTGGAGAAACCAGAAGATTCATGAACTGCTTCGGTGTAAACACAAGTTCTGGAATATGTTCGCTATCGACTTCAACCAGTTCATTGCATTCCAATTCCTTAGGTTCTCTCAATGAACTAGCAGCTCACATGAACAGTCCATTCACTACTATCTTCAGGTCGCCGTTCTTTTATAGAGTGCTACTATGTGAGTGCAAGGATTCAACAGTAGCCGTACTTCATAAGGGAAGACCTAGACACTATCCTTAAAACTACTGACCTACTGGTCTTACCTGCACCTTAGTCAGAGAACTGGAGAGAACGATAATCAAGAAAATTGCCATGACAAATTTGGAAAATGACATAATTATCCAACGCACAGCGCGATTTCATAGGCCCCCTAATCTCTGACACCCTGCAATATGAAAATTCTTGGTCAATTCCAGGGGCAACAGGAGAACGACTGCCATTTTCATGGGCTATAGTAAAACTTTCAACAAAGTGCCTCGTACTAGACTTTCCCGGGAATTGGAGGTTTCTGAAATAATAGGCGGCGTGCCACACGGATCTTAAAATTCGTCATAAGTAGCAAGAGGACTCCCAGGATTGACTTAAGCGCTTTTCATGGAAAACGGTAAGTCGCAATTTACCACACATGGTACCGCACTCAGCCCCTCATATTTATGCTGTATATCGACATACTGCCAGAACTCATCAAATGTGTCATGGTTCTCTACGCAGATGGCCTACAAATTTACAGACAGATAAAAGTTGGCAGCGGTATGCGGGGTACAGAGAATAAATGCTCCCAGTCAATATGGCCAACTGCGCAACCGTGAGCACTGGGCATACAAGTGTCAGTGCATGCAACACGGAGGAGGTAGTACAGTTTTTGGTCCGGATACACTTAGATATTGGTGTTATCGTATGTCACTTTCTAACGCGGTGGCAGCTCTCAAAATTAGACCCTTATAGGCAATATACACAGTCTTTACTGGAAACACCAGTAACATATTTTCTATTTTATGCACATTACTGTTGAGGCAAATCTAGAAATTTGTACTTAAGCAGCTGGTCCTCGCCTCAAAAATAGACTCATATATTTAAGGTTAAACTGTTAATCGAAACAGACACAGACTTCGTGACAGCCCACCAATGAATATGGCCCGACATTTTCTGTCGTGATCATCATATGGTTACTGATTATCTTAATGTGAATTGCCGCCAGTTGAGGCTGGTCATGCATGAGTGTTCTGTGAGGTCTTCTTACACATAAATGTTTGTGTAGACGAAATTCACTGACCATTATTGTTCTGAATACCAGTACCGCTTGGCACATTTTTGTCCCTCCTTGGATGACACTTTCGTAATGTCGCCTTCGTGTGAAAGTGTTATATCCTTTTCATTTCTGAAACAGATAGAGTTCATGCCACTATGCATTTTAACTTCTGAGAGTCCTAGATTCTGTGTCATCAGTGTTGGTAGTAATAACTAGAATCTGCAGGTAAACCTAATCCCACAAAGACCTCACATTTGTTTCTTGATACGGCCAGTTCATCACCTGGAGAAAAAATTAAGAGACTAAATATTTTCTCTTTATCATACTATGGGCAGAGACGAGGTCTAGTTGTTTTGACTGAGATTTTTAGTTGCGGATGGGAGGCCCCAAGCCTCTGTTAATCCTTTTCCAAGGAATAGTCCGTGCCTGTCTAATCCCTCTTAAATAGGTAGATCGATCACACAGACATCGATTCTTCTAGGAGTCCAATCCAAGAGTTTTTAGCCTGGCAATAGAACCAGCACCCGACAGAAAAATAGTCCCTCTTGGGCCCCTACCTGTCATGTCCTCTGAGGTGTTCCGACGTGGTAGGAAGGAAAACAGGAGGTTGACCCGGTACGTAGTCATTTCTAGGGGATTCAAAGATAGCAATGAGATATCCTCTCTCCCTACAATATGATAATGGGAAGAGATCCAAAGTATTAGGTCTTCTTTCGCACGATAAATTAGGCATATCAGGAATCATACGTGTGAGCTCACTTTGACACTATCTAGAATGTATGAGTGACCTATTCCGAGAAGTAACTATCAACCTCATTTGTCCTCGGAACATCACAGAAGAATTCGAAAACCAAGGAAGAACCATATAGGAACTATACTGGGAACCCCACTAAGACGTTAACTGTTCAATCCTACTCAGGAAGAAGAGGTGTCTGCGTTCCCAATCAAATGGTTAAAAAGACTTTGGTAAAACGCAAGTGTTTGATGGGAAAGAATTAATACAGGCCTAAAGCCATATATACTTAAAATGAAATCTAAAACATGAGGATCTGAAACATTGAACATTGTATGTAAGGGTGTTGTTTGTTTTCATAGGTGGCTTGACTATTGTCTGCGCGACGAACCGTCCTTACTGGGATTTTTACATTGATAGCTTCTTGCTATGATTGGGATTGAAGTAAAAGGACGTTTGAACCAATACATCAAAGTACGCGTTCCTTAGCTTACTCACATCTTTTTAGGCTGTCCTTCGCAACGTGATAAATGAAAATGCCATAGTTTTCTACCCGGAAAAGTAAGTTTACACTACTTACATTTCCATATAATTCCTTCTTAGGAACGAAGAAGAACAAGTTCCACTCCAAAACGTACGATTACCTCCATCGTCTGGAAGGTCAGTTCCTTACAGTAATGGTTTTTAGTGTGTGTGTGGGAGGGCCTAATATTTGTTGGTCATCTCAACATGCTTGGTAGTCAAATTCTAGAAAGTGTACAGTTAATTCAAACTACTTTTGTCAAACAATATAGATTTCTAGAAAGGCCACCTGAGTATCTAGGAAAACCTAAGTAGTCCTAATAAGTAAAAGACAATTGGTTCTGGTGGTTTTAGCCATGTAAGGCTTGCGAATAATTGACATTCTTTGCCGTTGTACTTATCAAACTGCTAAGCGAAATACATGCCTTATTTTCTACAACCAGGAATTTCTGACACTAGTATTTTAAGGTCTATGTACTGTTTTCTGGCCTTCAAAGTGATACATACACATTCACAATTATTCTAAGTGGGGCAATTTCAAACACGTGCTAGCTTTCTCACAAAACATTTGGTTACCTACTCACTCTGTCATTAGAATTTTCAGGCCAGTCTAGTGGGGGATAGAATAGCACAGTCTTATGGTATGATATGTAATGAATCCCAATCAGTTTTGATGTCAAACTAGGATTTAGGTTATGCTTAACATTAAAGCATCTTCAAATCATTTTGACGTTGAAATCTGTTAGACGTAAATGACGATACATTGCATGAGTGATTTCAGTTATTTGTCCTAAATTTCTTAGTTTATACCAAACTAGCTTGTGTGTTCATAGTGAGATAGCATCAGCAACTAATGCGTCAGGGTTTATATACTTTCAAATAAATATAGTAGTCTACAAATCCTGTTGTACTCGTATTTTGACTGGAACTTAAGACAGACAATTCCCAAAGCACTCTTATAAAGCCTACCAAGTTGTGTGGCTTCTTCATTCGTGTCGAAACAGTTTCCATTACGAAAGTCAGTAGTTGTACATCCAACCGGTGCATTTATTGTCACCATCACTCATGTGTAACGAAATGTATAGAGGCTTGGTGTCACTTACTGGATTTCACTGTACTAACCAGGCTATCAGTCGATATTAATTGCCTCACTCTAGAACAAAGCTAGAATGGCCAGATTGTAGACTTCATAAAGAAAGAGCGTCAGCATACCTGGTAGGTACTAGTTTAGACTGCATTTCATTAAAGATGTATCTTGGGCGTTATCAGCCAGGATAATTGGTCACTCAAGCGTTTCAAGCGGATGCCGTCTATATCAGGTAATTAGACTATTGCTATTTTAAGGATCTTCAGTTGACTGAATGTAATTTTCGTTGAAGTGTAGCTCTAACGATTTGTTTGTAAACTACTTTAGTCTAATTCGTAACTCATTATCTTAATTCTCCAAGCGATATTCAGCCTGGACAAAGCGGAGAAGTCTTGTTTTCTGTCGCAACTGATCAAACTACAGGCTCTCCTAATACCAAAACTACACTGCCCTGTCGTTGGGGTGATGGCACTACTAGCAAACCAGAAATCGAACTGGTATTGGATGACAACTGGGATAACCTTTCAATTCCCTCTTGGTGGCCATGTCGTGTTACGAAAATTCGTGATGATGTTGCCGTTGTCAAACTCAACGTAACTGCACCAGCTGATGCAACTCCTTCAGAGATTTCACTTTGTACACAGCTTTCTGCTATAACCGATATTGTGAGTCGTAAAATTTTACGCCAGCCGAGTGAAGGCTGTCCATGTTTATCTCCTGATGACATCCATCGACATCGCATCGAAATTCCAAAAGAGCTAGCAGAATTGTAAGTTACCATTGTTTTAATGAAAAAAGTAACATTATGCCTCCTAAAAATCCCCTCCATGTGTTTTTGTTTCTTACAATCTGTTGTCTATGATCACAGTTATTTACTTAGGTGGATTTATTTCTTTGCTGTGATTTTCCGCAGTACTGGCTTGTCAGGAGTTTATCAGTTTTGGGAAACAATATGAGAAGCAGCTAAATCACTCTCCTTAATTTGTAAACTGAAGATTCGTCATGTTATGCATTTATTCAGTTGTATAGTTCAGATAAATGAATCGGTTGTTTCGCTTTTTAAAAAAATTAAACATTTATGCATGAAAATAGTGGTGTTTTACCTCTGTTGCGATCTCGAAACACTTAAATTTACTTTTCTTCTTTATGTAACCCCTGGTGTTTGGTTTTTTCTTGTAGCGCTTCAGACACTTCTGTGCACAATTATTTTTTACGCCGTTGTGGAGGCCCTGTAAGCGTATACTATGATAGTGAATCATCAAGTTTAGTTGTGCTAACTACAGACCCAGTGACAGCGAAGAATGTTGCCTTGTTGGAGGATACACATTTAAGAATGTTGCGTCAAAAATTTGCACTGACTCGAAGCCTACGGCAAACCATGCGTAACCTTGAAGTAAGTATTCACTTCTCTTAAATTTTAGATTGTTTTTTGAGGCAGATTTATTATTTTATGTCCTTAAACCATCTCATGTTTACCATCTGCTGCATGCATGCTTGAGTCAGTCATAACTCGTCTTTGAAAGTGAAGTAGATGGGCTCAACCAATATGCGAGTAAAACTTTGAACAGTGGTAATATGTAACCACTAGCCACTTTGTTTGTTTGATGTAGTATTTAGTGATACAGCGCTATTTACTAAATAATGTTTCAAGTTCAGTTTACCTCTCGTAATTACATCAAAGTAATCAAAGAACTTACAAATTTAGTTCCCATAGTGGCTCATTCCTGCATTTGTAGTGGTGTCAGGGTTTTCCAGACATCTTCAAGATAAGACATAAGTCATCCCAAATTTACTTGAATTCCAACTCCCTCTTTGTAACAGCAGTTAATCTCGAGGCGGGTTACATCATAAACTGCTGTCATCTAAAGAACAATTGCTGGAAATTTGTGTCGTGTTAATGTAGTTCTTTCTATGAAGCACACCCACCATCGTATCTACACCGTCAGATCACAAGACTAGTACGTTTTCATTCAGCAATTAGGTTAGAACCCAGTGGTCTGTTGATTATTATTTTTATTATTATTATGGTTGACATGTCGCTGTGGGCTGAGGGTTCATTAGAACACTTCCGGGGTGGGATCCGGAAGCATATGCGTCTTGCCGTCTTGAAACGCTACTAGGAATATCTCAAAATCGAAATCAGTGGCATATATGTTCCAGTTCCATAGTTTCTCTTAATGCTATAAGAAGTAAGAAGTCATGAATACTGTCTCTGACATTTTGGTTTACCCTCAACTGCGCTTCCATCTTATTGCTGTGCTTATATGTGACACATCTTGGTACTCATACTGTAGTAAGTTTTGTCAAAAATAATGCTAAGGGGTTAGGTAAGAAGTGGAATAACCAGTGCTGACAACATCCCTATCTCCTGCAGCTCTTATACGTCCAGCTCCACGTCTTTGTAGCTACACGCGGTAGTTTTCTTGCATGCTTTTTGTATAAATCCCTTACTTGAAAGCCAGTGTGACTAGCTCCGAAGCGCAGGCGAACTGTTCAACACTGACAGCTGGTCAAGTGCGGGATCTTGTTCTTTTAGTTTATTAAAAAGTAATCCTCATTTGGGAAACATTACTCCTAACGATGCTTCAACGATTGTAGTTCCCAAGATTTGTGAAATCCTACTTTTAAGGATGTCGTCAACTAGGTCACATTTGAATTCAAGCTTTATTTTTTGTATCTACTTGGATACAGACACCGCACTACATTTCTGTTTTTCACTGCACATTTTTGTGTATAATGCGTGGTGGGTATCTATTTTCTATCAGGACTCTTCTTAGATTTAACTCTTGTAGCATCAAAGCTATAAATGCCGCCAATATGAGTGGCAAACGATAGAATCAGATTTTACTACCGGAAACTGATTCATGGTAAACTTTCATGGAATGTTTTAGGTGACAAAACAACTGCGTACCTATTAGTTTGTAGGATGTCGTGGTTCAGTTGGTAGAGCACACCGGGCTAGCAGCTTGGAGGCCATTGGTCCAAGTCCCAGTACTGTGGAAATTCCGTGGGGGTATGGCTTATTGGCTTGGGGACTCTGTTTACAGCCAGTTGGTCTCGCAGTCGAGTCCTGCTCAACCTTAAGCCTGGGCAACTGGATACTGTCGTCAGCCGTTACACATTTAGTGTTGCTCAATAACCTAGTAGATTCATGTGTCTCGGGTAGCTGAGTTTAAGCAAACGACAGCATTAGTCGATCCTTTCACTGACATCGGCTGACAACGAAAGTTACTGTAAAATAAATTGTTACTTATAAGGAGTAAATATGGCGTGATTTGTTTTTTAGCGTGAGGTTTTTAAAAGATTCGTAAAACTACACTGTAATAGAAGAATTAGAATCAGGAGCAAAAATATCGGTGAAGTGGGACATGTTAAGGGGCAGTATTTTCCTGTAAATAGATGTGTTTACTGTTTAAGTTAATTGAATACTATTGGGAATAGATGAACAAAAGGCAGCTCAGAAGTCAGAAGTTGCCTCATATAGTAAGCTATAACCATTGGCTCTTTGATGAAGACTAGATGACATTATAAGCCTTCACACAAAGCGAAGTCTCGTGTTGAAGTCTTTACAAGACTGTTGAATTGTGTAGAACTGAACTCGTGCTACAAATCAGGTTGTCACACTTCATAAAGCGCACAGTTGTAGATCAGTAAACAAAGTGCAAGGGTGCTACAGTAAACGGAAATATGCAAGAGAAACAATAATGAGAATTCATAAAGCTTAGAAGATTACAAAGTGAATATGCCTGTGCCATAGTGAATGATTTCGAGCTGTCTGATTAACAGCCCCCAGCCGTTGATTCCTAGGGTCTCAATGACCCTAGCTAAGCGGTCTACACCTGACTACGTAACTCTAACCGACAGTCAGTATCCTCATGGGTTGATGCTGGGTTTTAATTCGACCAACCTTAACTGTATTTTAACCAAATCCACGTCCTAGCTATTTCAGTCGATATAGCTTCACGGCCTAATAGGATTGACTTGCTCGCCTTATCTAACACCGCGCCTTACTTAAGTATTGCCATATTATACCATTTACCATGGGTACTAAAGCGCTAACACCTGTAGGTAGAGACAGCTAATCTTTTTGTGTCTTTCATTTTCAAGGGTCACGTTTCGCAGTCGTAAAGAAGGAAAAGGCGAGTTACTGTTCACTACACACATTCTTCTTATCGGTGGATAGATATAAAGTCTACAACAGAGATGACACAAGTTAGCACTCACCAGACAAGCCTTTTCTAACAGGGGCTGATATTTTTCCATTAATCTGTCCATTGTGGTTGATGCAACTTTTCAAATAAGTGAATTGGTTAGCACTTTTATCCCTGTCCTAAGGATGTAATACAGAATTAACCTTTGTATTTAACAAAAGGAGTTTTATGGGCCTGGATAGTAAATATGGTTTATTCTCACCCTAGTGCATTAAATATTGTCCGAATGATCAGCATGAGTTAGTGAGCTTAAATGTTGAACATAACAAAGATTCTGCACCATTAGAAATTATATTTTGGTTCTCTGAGTGGCGTGGATGCATTCATTGTTCATGAACTCTCAGACACGCTAAATTCTCATCATTCTTCCACAAATTACTGTTTCTTTGCATTACTACTGTATCTTTGCATTTTTACTCCTCTTATGTGTGCCAACTTGTACTGTTGGCACAATTATACAAAGTTTTACGTTGGCATTTCACTCTCAGGTGTCTCAATTGACACGCAGTCAAAAATATTTGCTTTCATCAACACATTGTCAAGTGACAATTGTATCAGTCTTTTCCTCGTGTCTTTGTGTTTCTTGTGAACGGTGCATATACTCGGTGTAAATTTCGATGTGTGTTGTGAACACACGAAGTGCTTCCTTACATTATAACTTTTTTTTCATTTGCTCATCTTGCCGGCTAGGTTAACCGTGGACCAGATGTATCACGAGGAGGTGGTGGAATGAAGAATAGTGGAGATTGGAATACTGATCCTAGTCTATATGTTGAGAAATTTTATGTCCCTCAACATTTAATGGGATTGGCTATAGGAGCCCGTGGAGTAAATATTCGTTCTGCTCGTGAAATTCCAAATGTAGTCCGGATTAGTTCATGGGAACCACATGAATATCGTCCAAAAGATAATGATCCTGTGGATAATGCTGGTGATTACGGCGATTCTGCGATGTTTGTTGTGGAAGCCAAGGTATGCAGTTATTTATTTATTTATTTTGTATGACTTTAATGCAATTAGTTGGTGTTAATACCTTGTATCTCCGTATTTTGACACTAAAGTCACAGGCGATTTGCTAATGAGAAATCATTTTCGAAAATTTGTAAATTTTGTGGTTTATAGTTTGCTTTAAAGGATAGAAGTATAATCAGTTATGTGTGGGAGATTTGGATTGTTAACTTAAACACTCTACTTTTAGCCAGTGGGTTGTGGATTCGAAATTCTGTCCACCCACTTCAACCGCGGCAGCTGGGCAGTAGGTAGCATTAGCCCTCATTTAATAACTGTGGGTAATGATCCGGTACTACGTAACTGAATTTCTAACTAGCTGCTGACTGGTTCTAGGATTCACTGTCAAACTGAGATTGAACTTATTTTCAGTGCACATTAGCAGAAAAAGCTGAAACTAGTATGGGGAGCAGATATCAGCTATACGCAACACTAACTTTCCAAAAATAAGTTCCAGTTGACCGACCAGCCAGTTAATGTTGGAATGTCTTTATCATAGCCCTGATATAAGAGAGAGAGAGGTAACTTCCAGAAATTGAGCCCAAATAACATTGATTTATGTAACATGGATTGTACATTATTTATTTCTCTTTTGATTGTGACCGCATCAAACCAAACCAAGATCTGTTGACAAACCGTCGCCTAGTGGTATAGACACTCCGACAAATATCTAAAGACTAACGTTAATTTATTTCTGCTGATAGTGATTAGCAACAGAATCCAGGCTGTGCATTTCGTCCTATTGTGGACTCATCATCTGGATATGCTTGCATTCCTAGTGTGATTGATTGGGGTGTTCCCACTGAGACTTACGCCCTGAACCCTGAGTCATTTTAAATGCTTAAGTATTATCTGCTTGCTACGCCGCGAGAGTCCACTTCTCTTGTGTCAGTTAGAGGGGTGGGTGGGGGTATCAGTGTTATCGTTTTTGGTTTTTAGATAAATTTTACATTTCACATTGATTAGTTATTTTGAACACTGAAATGGTTGGCCGTTTAGATTGTGCACAGTCTTTTTCATTGTGTGCACATAAACCTTAGTTAGAGGGGATGTGTGTGTGTGTGTCAGTTATCAAACTGTTATTGATAACTAAAAACTACACAAATTAGAAAGCAGAATTTCATGTATACATATATAATAAAATCAATAGTTGTCCTGAAGAAGTAACAATAATAATAATAATCTGATAACTGTCACTAAATGATTCCACTGTGTAATTATTACACTGGGATTAAAGTTGTGCCAAAAGTACAAAATGAATGGATGACCAAGACTTATTAGAATAGAAATACAAATTATGGTTTGTTGGTGTCTCTTTTTAGTGTTTATACAAACTGACACTTTCTACATTTTTGTACAAACAGAAATAGTAATCGATGGAGAGTAAATCAGACCAGATTGCTGGACTAATAACGCACACACACATACATCATTCTATTTTATCACCTACAGTGAAACATAAGAAACTTTATTCTTATGAACTCGTCCGATAGCTGCTAGCCTGATGGTGGTAGTGGTTAGGCTTACAAATTGCAATGACCCAGAGAGCTATACTGGGGGGAGTTAATGTTCCCTCAGGTCTTATCATAACTAATAGTGGTTACACTAAAAGCAGTCGCCATTATGTTGAAAGTGTGTGAGCGGTGTTGTACTACTGGCGAGTAGGAATGTTTCCTTGGGTGTGACCAGCTAGCTAGGTATGCTGCCTTTCCACTTTAGAGACAAACAAGTTAGTGGGATTGAAAAAAACAGACCAACCTCGAAAATGGTACATCTTGGCTTACCTATGGGGCGGTCTATAGCCGGCGATAAAAGATCTTCCTATGGTTTAGTAACCGCCTCAAACACGACGTATATGTGACTGGCTGGTCCCTTGGGTTCTGTGGCCATGCAACGCTAATGTTCTTTCCGTTCCAGGTACTTCGGGAAGAGGTGTAGGTAGGTGAAAGGTAATGACCGCCTCCTCCCACACACTTACACAAGCACATAAAGCTTTCTTGATCATCACCCAATTCTAGGTTCGTTGGAGTAAGTGAAGATAGACTTAGTTAAGTATCCATATAATCGGTCCAAGAGCCTGACTGGTAAGCCAGAATATTTGAATAATACAATCGAACAATTGAAGGGAATATTACTAGTGAATAACTAGTCACCAAAATTTATTAAGAAATGTATGAAGAACCACAGGAAAACTAAAATTACTGATAAAAATGACGAAAATAATAAAAATAATATAGAATTCAAAGCCTCTGTAGTACTACTGTAGAGAGAAGTTCAAAGGCCTGGAATTGGGCTTGCATTTAAACCAACCAACCAATTCTCTCAGAGATCAACTTTGTCTACTTAAAGACCCAATAGATCCAGTTAAGAAATAATATAATATACCAAATACCATGCAATGATGACTTAGTGAGGTCAGTTTAACTAGTAGATCGGGGTCAACTAGATTATTGAAACATTAAAATTTATCTAGACCTGGAATGATAGACCCTGGTAAGTTGAGTAACCTAGAAAAAAGCTCACCCATTTCACTGCATTCACTTTCATTTAGTAACACACAATAAGGTGTGATGGAGTGAGAGTACTAAAAGGTGATATCGTTAGGTGTGTAGAGACACAGAGAGAGGTAGTTAATCACTGAATTTTTGTCTATCAATTCAACAACACTGAACACATGCAATCGGAATAACGCCAGGCCTATACTGGAGATATGGAAAGCCGCAAGTTGAACTGACAGAAAATATGTTTAAGACAAATTGTGACTAAAACTGATATGATTGTGAGTGGCAATAATTTATGCTGGAAGCCTTGTCATCTAGTTGTTAATACTGCATCATCACGGTGTTTCATATTTAGAATAAACTTATCTAATATGTCTGTCTGTCTGTTTTCAACATAGAACTTTGCATCAGTGTGCAGCAGTTCAAGTCGACACACTCCCTCCATGTAGCACACAAAGCAGAAGAAAGTAGAAGAAATCATAATAGAGACACTAAACAGAGGTGTGAGACAAAGGAATAGTAATAACGAAGAACAATATAGTTTCATTGGAAATCATAAGTCACAGGGAGTGGATGCATCTTCACCAACCATTGAGAACGATTTTGTGCCATATCACCGATTGTTTTTACCGTCCCGAGGACGCCAACCGGGAAGTCTACATCTTCCTACGTAACTGGTTGTAACTAACTGTTGTGGATTTCATCGACTGGTGAAGCCATCTTTTGGTTTGACGCCGCTAGCTCTTTTCCAGTCTGACTCTATGTCAGCTAACATTCTACCCCAATGTCTAAGCTATACACTTACATTAAATGAGTGATAATCGCACTTGGTGACACCTACATAACAAGTTTATAACACATTTACGATTAGAATTTATTGTACCAAAATTCATAATATCCTTGTGATTAAATATAAATATCAATTGTCAAGAATTTAATTTAATTTCTATCTATTTAAAAAAAATTTTTAGACTCAGGAAGCAGCAAAACAAGCTCGTGCAAAATTAGAATATACTGAATTGTATTTAGGTGTTCCACGTCGGTATGTAGGCCGTTTAATTGGCAAAAGAACATCCAATATCATGTCGATTATTCGTAAATCTGGCCTGCTGCACATTCATTTAGACGATCATATTGATGGTCCAGTGACTGTTAGCGATGATAATAATCAATCAGACCTGATCAAGTATGCTTATCCAGATCGTCCCACACCTACTACAATGCGTAGAGTTTTCCTTAAGGTAAGATAGAAATGGTTTCCTGTTGTCTGTTTTGTTTCTACATTGGTTTACCATATCTTTGCCGGGGAACTTCACCCTAGACCCTTTGAAATTTCATGTTTGGAATTTTATGGGAATTAATTGTTGGATTGTTTTAAGTCTATATGGAATAGATATAGGCTTGGTGAAATTATTATTATTATTATTTAAACGCAGAAAAAACTTGGTACAATATGGCACCGACAAAGATGCACCACACTGTTACGAAGGTGATTGAGTCTTAGAACGATGAGTGATGCTTGAATCTTGAAAAGACGAATGAACCAAGAATTTAGGCTTTATTCATTTTACAATGAAGCCGGAATGGCTTAAACATATAAAGGAAAAAAAGAGTGTTAATAGCGGTAGAGATATGAATATGACTAGATACGTATTATAAGAAAAGTTCACAACATTCACTGCGGCTTGAAAAGGAATGAGCCATTATGTCACGCTTCTCTGGTACGCAAATTGTAAGGCCGTACACGTTGTTGTTTTTCCAAAAGAATACGCCCGTTGTTCGTTTCAGTTGTATTTTCTTCACGAAGAATATTAGGATCAGTGGTCGCATCCCCATTTACTTGTTGCTCAGGAATTGCGTCGCCCTCCGGTATTGAATTTTCAACTTGATCTATATCTTCGCCTTTGGGTGCCAGATGATGAAGAGCAACTGTATCTTCACGTCCATTACCGAAGCGAACGTGAGCGAATTGCGGGTTACAATTCAATAGCTCCACCTCTTCAACCAGGGGATCGAATTTGGACTGACGAACACTCCGCCGGAGAAGTACTGGTCCTGGTACAGTGAGCCAAGTAGGAAGAGTTGTCCCAGATGTCGATCTTCGGTTATAGGTAAACAGTCGTTCGTGTGGCGTGGCGTTCGTTGCAGTACAGAGCAAAGATCTGATGGAATGCAAGGCGTCGAGTAGAACAGACTCCCATTGTGCCGTTGGTAGGCCCCGTGATCTTAATGCTAGAGTGATGGCACGCCAAAGTGTTCCATTGAGGCGCTCGACCTGCCCATTGGCTTGAGGATTGTATGAGGTAGTACGACTGGTTGCTACGCCTTTCTCCAGAAGAAATGCCCGTAATTCGGTAGACATGAAAGCAGCGCCTCTGTCGGTATGTATGTAAGAAGGCATACCGAAAATCGAAAACAGTTGGCAAAGGCAATTCATTACCGTTTGAGACGACATGTCGGGGCAGGCGAATGCAAAGGGGAATCGAGAATATTCATCGATCAGCGTGAGCAGATAGTGATTGCGGCTAGCTGACGGTAGAGGTCCTTTAAAGTCGATGCTTAACCTTTCAAAAGGTTGGGTTGCTTTTATGAGTTTGAAATTAGAGGGATTGTAAAATTGAGGCTTTAACTCACAGCATGTCACGCATTTACTGGTTACATTGCGCACCTCGTCAAGGGAGAATGGAAGGTTTCTCGAGCGTACAAAATGCATCATTCGGACAACTCCAGGATGGCACATAGAGTCATGGAGAAATTTCAAGTCGCACACTGACTGCAAGGAACCGCAGAAACTACGGGAAAATGTATCAGCAGCTTGATTATCCCTTCCAGGACGATAAATGATGTCATATTGATAAGGGGATAGCTCAATTCTCCAACGCATTATTTTATCGTTCTTGATTTTGCCTTTATGAATCTTGTCAAACATGAATGCTACTGAACGTTGATCAGTGACAAGTTTGAAGTGATTTCCGAGAAGGTAATGCTTCCACTTACGAATTGCTTCAACCACGGCATAGGCTTCTTTCTCAACCGATGAATGATGTTTCTCACTTCGAGAGAGGCTTCGAGAAAAGAAGGCGACAGGTTTACCATTCTGGTTTAATGTAGCTGCAATTGAGACATCTGAAGCATCTGTTTCAACAACAAGGGGTGCTTTCGGATCAACTACCACAACGACTGCACGTTCTAAGTCGTCTTTCAGTTTGTCAAAAGCATTTCGAGTTTCGATATCAAGAGGGAAAATCCGATTATTTACCAATGGGTGGATTTTATCTGAGAAGCGAGGGATCCACTGTGAATAATAAGCAAATAATCCAACGGCCCGTTGTTGAGATTTGATATCTGTGGGTGGTTCTAGATCACGAAGAGGTTTTAGCCGATCGGGATCTGGTTTAATAACCCCCTTTGAAACTTCATAACCGAGTAATTGTATGCTTCTGCTTGAGATCACACTTTTGGAATCATTAAGGGTTATTCCATAATTGCGTGCTGCTACCATAAACTTGTTTAGATTTTTGTCGTGTTCCTCCTGAGTTTTGCCGCAGATAGTGACATTGTCAATGTAGGCAAACGTGCTTGTGAGTTGTTCTTTACTGATCAATTCATCGATAATGCGTTGAAAACAAGCTACGCCATTGGTAACACCAAAAGGAATTCGGCAAAATTGGTAAAGTTTCCCACAAGCCTCGAAAGCAGTATATGGTTTATCTTCGTTCCTTAGGGCAATTTGATGATAAGCATTCTTCAGATCAAGAGTGCTGAATATGTCATATTGTGCGATTTTTTCTATCATTTCGTCAATCCTAGGTAATGGGTAAGCATCCAGAAAAGTGAATCGATTGATTGTCTGACTATAATCAACTACCATCCTCTTTTTATGGCGTTCGTTTGACGTAACAAGAACTTGAGCTCGCCAAGGAGAATTAGAAGGTTCAATAACACCTTCTTGCAGTAACCGGTTGACTTCGGTGGAAATAAAACTTTCATCTTCACGAGAATAACGCCGGGATTTTATCGCGATCGGTTTACAGTCTTTTGAAAGATTTTCAAACAGAGTAGGCAGGTCGACGCGAACACAAGGTAGACCACAGAGAGAAAAAGGCGGCTTTGATCCCCCAAAAGGAATCTCAATGTGTTTGTGAAGTTTTAAAAAATCATGTCCAAGAAGGACGTCTGCACATAAATTATGAAGAATGGAAAATTTGAATAGATCATAAGTGTGGTTTTTATAGCAGATGGATAGAAGACAATGTCCTTCAGTATGACTAGTAAGATTCGTACTCGCCATTGTGATTCTGTTTCGAGACTTATGGACTTTCCAGTTATACTTACGAACAACTGAGGAAGAGATGTAGCTCTCACTGCTTCCGGTATCCACTAGAGCTTGCATTGATTTCCCATTGACAGTAAGCTGCGTAACAGCATCAGTGAGACTTTGAGGTGCTGAAGCCACAACGAGAGATGAAATTATAGAGTTAACTGAAGATGGACCTTTTTTCGTAGATGGCGCAGACCTGCAAACCTTCTGAAAATGTCCTTGCTTGCCACAAGCTTTGCAAACTGCATCACGGGCGGGGCATTTGGAACGAGGATGTCTACGATTACCACAGAAAAAGCATTTGGATTCAACGGCAGCAATGGTTGTTTCATTGACGGAGGGTGTGGAATCTGATGAATGAGGTACATCATGTAAAGAAATGGACGCGCAAGGTGTAACAGGATTGTTGTATGACTGCGATTGTTGATGTGCCATCTCTAGAGCTCGTGCTTGATCGTATGCCGCTTGAAAAGTTAAAGTACGCTGTTCTAATAGCCTCTGGCGTATCATCGAAGACTGTATACCTGAGATGAATGAATCACGTAGAGATTCGTTACGATGTTCTTCGGCTGTAACTGCCCTGAATGAACAATCTGTAGTCAGCGACTTGAGTCGACGAACAAACTGATCCAGATTTTCGCCAGATTCTTGTTTACACGTTGCTAACAAGTGTCGAGCAAACACTTCGTTGCAAGGCTGCATGTAGAGACTCTTGAGAGTGTCGATAGCTTCTTCGTATGTTTTGCATTCAGAAATGCATTCGTATACAGAAGTAGAAATATGATTGAAGAGAATATGTAGTTTCGAAGGATTTTCGGATCCCATTGATTCAATGAAGTAGGAAAAAGTCGCAAACCAGTGATCCCACTTCTTGGCAGCTCCAACTGCGTTAGGTTCTACGTCGAACCGATCAGGTCGGAAAAATCGTTCCATGAATATTGTAAAATGAATAAATTGTTACGAAGGTGATTGAGTCTTAGAACGATGAGTGATGCTTGAATCTTGAAAAGACGAATGAACCAAGAATTTAGGCTTTATTCATTTTACAATGAAGCCGGAATGGCTTAAACATATAAAGGAAAAAAAGAGTGTTAATAGCGGTAGAGATATGAATATGACTAGATACGTATTATAAGAAAAGTTCACACACACACACAATAATAATAAAACAACATAGATTAAAAATATAATTAGAAAACGGATAAACAACTTCATCTGGAAGGAAAACAGTCATGCCTAACAGTTCATCAGAGAGAGAAGAAAGAAGGAAATTGCAATACGTTCGCCATTGATTACGATTCTTGACCATATCCCAATAACGTGCCTATCTATCTCGCGAACCCCAACCAGGGAGTCGTGACACACCAACCGATGCTAATCTAGCACAAAAACCCTTCATCCCACGACGCCACTTCATGGACTGACCACCTCTCCACCTTTTCCATCCTGTCACAGGACTAGCGAACAGAAACCTGTACGGAAGCCTCTGGGATGACATTCGCAACACATGTCCAAGCCACCGGGGCCGGTGTTTCCAGATGACGACATTCAATGAATGGTGATCACTGTATTCAAACACACGCCGCCGAACCTCAGAATTACTCACGTGGTGATTCCATCGAACGCAAGCAATCCTTCGGAGACAGTGATGATCGAATACGCAGAGCCACCGCACATCCTCAGCCCACTCGGAGAGGTCAGGTTTCACAGGCGTAGAGCAAAACAGCCCGCATCGAAGCATTGTACACCCAACCTTTGACAGCCAGGCTAACATTGCGACGGCGCCAGAGGTGGCTGAAGTTGATGTATGCCACCCTAGCCTTCATTATACGGTTGGAAATCTCATCCGTCAACACACGCAACTACGCAGATACACAAACTTATCAACAACTTCAAGCGGTTCACCCGCAAGAGTGAGTGCAGTTGCAGGCTCCTGCCAATCTTGTAACAGTACTTTGCACTTAAGCGGCGCAAAGCACATACCATACTTACAGACATAGACGTGATATCTGATTTTCAATCAGAGGTCGTGTATGTATCTGGTCCTGTCCTTTGTGACTGGTACATAACTATTGAAAATGGAAGACTTGAAGAGGTTGGCTGTCGCTGACCATAGATATTAACGCTCTATATTCCGTGTTAAGCGGAGGTATAACATGGTGAGTATTTCGGAGGATTGACGTAGAGTGTGTGTAAGGTAAAGACAGGACAAGTGAGTCACTTGGATTGTGCAGCTATATCTATTAAGATGGCTAGGATGCCTTGAATTAGATGTCAGAAGAAAGTCTGGTTGGTTTGACTTACCTAGAGAGGTGTAGACTGCTTAGTTGAGGTCAGTCAAAGACCATGAGGTGACTGAGAATCGTTCTCATCGACACAAGGTGCATTCACTCTTATTGATCTGATAGATGTTTTCAATTCTCATTATTTGCCATTTTATTAATTCTTTCTCTTTCATATTTCTGTCTTGCTGTAGTTTCTTTACATTTTTTTTTCGACTTAGTCTTTTATGCGCTTCTTAAAGTGTTGTAGTTTGAATTACTGCAATATTTCTACAAAGTTCTACATTGGAAACGCAGCCAGTTAATCTTTAGCCTTGTGTTTATGCCTTTTTAAAAGGTGATCACTACTGGAAGTCTTAAATTATTTACCACAGTCTCTCTCTTCTCCTACTGAAGTCAACGGTGTTGAAATACCAATGTTTAATCAACTTTCAAATCCATGTTCGCTTTGTTGTCTTGCCAAAGGGTGAAAATCTCTTGCCCTTCATTATAATTGATTTAGTAAACAAATATGTGGATACTACGATCCTTCTGTGTTTCTACAATGTCCTTGAATCAAGCAGCACAACATAAGCGACGGAGATGTATTAGGAAGTGTGCTTGAAATCATTACTATGCCTATTTTATCAGTGATAGAATTCGATTACATGGGATAAGACGATATTCAAAGAGTATTTGGTTGATATTTAAGTGTTGGTTTGTAGGGATTTGATTGGTTATAGGACATTGGCTAGGGGTCGCGCTATATCGTGAATTGGCAGAAGTTAGAATTCATGGACTAGCCATTGGACCGGGTCCCAGTGGCTGAAAGGTATACGAACTCGCCTTGTAACCAGAAGGTCCTGGGTTCGAACCCCGATGGGTGCGTACTGATGAAGAGTCCCAAACTAGGATATAGGACGAAACAGCTGTCCAGTACTCCCAGGTTTTCCAATGGTTCTTTAGCCAGTGTCAGCTCATCATGAAATCCAGTGTTTGGTTGATTTCATCAATATTTTAGGAATGTTCAGGAAAGTCATTGTAGGAATTGTTGACTCGAAATTCTAGAATTTCAGCTGTTTGCTACCTCGTCTTATTTATTGTGTGTGTGTGAATACCGGTTGCAAAGTACTGTTAGGAATTCAATTGCATGGGACCGTAGATGTTGCTTCACGGTTATAAACAAACAGTATTAGGACCAGTATAACGCACTGTCACTTTGTGTAATTTAGTGACTATCTTTGTTCATCCAATATCAAGCCATCTGTCATCAGTCAAACTATCTTCAAATGTTTCTATTATGTAATTCCACGTGTGTTGTAACCACTACACATAAAAAGCAGCTTTCCTGTTACTCACTTTTGAACACATTTCCGGAATTTCTCTAGTTCCCATAATGTGCTTTTGTATTATTCTCTTTTTTATGCACTCATGTATACATATATCTATTGTAAGACGATGTAAATTTTAGTTTTCTGTGAAACCTTTCTAGGCTGGAAGTACTCAAACAACATCTCAACCACATTCAGACGAAGAATTCGGTGGATTCATACTAGCCGGTACAAGAGATTCAATTGAAAAAGCTCGTTTGTTGATTAATTTTCAAATGGACTATTTTTATGATCTCGAGAAGATGGAGGTAAGAGGCGCCTTTTTTAAAAGTATATATTTAGCTTGATTCCACATCGTATTTTTAATACAAGCATATAGAGTTTTCAGCATGTGATATCGGTAGTCAAAATTTTGCAGACCGAACATCGATATCAGGGGAGTGCGTTGGCAGGGGATCGAACCCGCTTACCTTGTGCATTGGTCGGTGAGAGTCCTAACCGCTGTGCCACGGACGCGCGCTCTACGACTCAAATGATATCAGTCTCATATTTGACAAAGTGCGTTGATGGTGGTGGTTCAATTGTAGAAATGTTTGTGAGCCTTAGGGGTGGGGAGATTTGGGTTTGATTGCCTGCCAACTCAGTCCTAAACCCCTCGAATAATTTGCTAATCGTTAGTAGGCCTGGAAAGGTGTAAAGGAGTTTGGGCACACGGCTAGCAACAAAAATTCCGTAAAATAACACCACGGCTACTGAAACTTCAGTAGGTGCGTGTTTGCTAACGTCATTTCATTAGGGAAATTATTTTACCCTAAAGTACTCTTAATGGAAAAATAGCCTTAGAGAATTTGGTCTGTTAGTTTATTGAACGTGTTTCTCAGTTTATGTGATTTATGAAAAACAAACATAAGTAATTAAGCACCGAGGGGACTCTTCTCGACTAATTCCGTTTCTTTACATCAACTGAGATAGTTAATGCATGTACTGCACGCATGCCCCCAACCATCGCCCTCCTCGACCGACGGGCAATGTTAGCTGACATAGAATCAGCCTGGTAAAGAGCTAGTGGTGGTCAAACCAAAACATGGCTTCACCAGTCAATGAAATCCACAAGAGTTAGATTAAGACACGTCGGGAGGTGTAGACTTCCCGGTTGGGATGGTAAAAACCAATGACTGCAGAAAATTGGTGATATGACTACCGCAAAGTCCTCGTGCTGAATGGCTGGCACAGATGCATATAATCTTCGTGATGATTTGTCATGTTTGACAAAACTCAATTCTTCCAAATTACCATTCTTTTCCCTCAAGCTTCTGTTTATTATCTCTCTGTTTTACTCTCTTCTCCTGCTTTGTGTGCAAAATTGTATGTTGAAACGAATCATTCAGTCAGTTTCTGTAGCTCTGCAATCGGTGGCACAGTGGTTAGGACTCTCGCCGACCATGCACATGGTCCGAGGTTCAATCGCCTGCCGACGAACACCTGATATCTATGGTCGGCCTGCGAAATTCGGGCTACCGATATCCAGGCTGAAAATTCCATACTTGTACCTAAAATACAGTGTGGAATCAAGCTGTAATCAAAAATAAATAAAAAATAAATACACTTTCTCACAGAAACAAAAAGAAAGAATCATATGACGCAATAGTTCAAAAGTAATGCAAGCGTTAAAAAAACAGACAAAAATCAAGTTGGTAGAAAAACAATAACATTGTTACCGTGATAATTGAAGTGCTTGACTAATTCTCCTTTGTATGCAGAGCTCAGGTTTCTCTATTTGAATGACAGAAGAAAAAAACGAAGGCGTATTGCATTTGGCAGGTTGTTCTCCATTTTGTAGATTACTTTGAAGCAAGAGTTTGTTGGGATGGAGTAGCCGGTGTCGATAAGGTGTTCAAGTTATATCACCCCCCTATAGAGCCGCTGCAACCATGCGTGATCGTGTTCTTGATCCCTTTCAGGTAGGATACGCGTTGAACGACCAACATACATGATTCTACCTCAACGAGTGGACAGTTCATTTCATCAAGATTGGATCATTTTGAAATTAGACACGACGCAGATCTAGTTGTAAACCGGTAATTTATTAAAAAATTTTGACCAACCACCTCAATGAGTTTTCGAGATATGAAGGCTGCACACTTCGAGCCATCCTTTATCCCTTCATGGTTTGGTTGAAAAACTTTTTAAGCGTATCTCGTGCCGGCTACATTTCACCACTACACGAAGCCACTGACAAATATTTTCAGTATTCATCATGACAGCTTATGCATGTCATTTTTATTGTCTCTTGTTGAATTTTCTGGTATTATGGTTTTTATTGGTCTGTCGGTGGCACAGCGGTTAGGACGCTCGCCGACCATGCACGTAGTCTGGGTTTCGATCCCCCGGCCACCGACTCACTCCTTTACCTCGCTAAGCCAGAAATAAAAAGCTGGTGAAGGGGAAAGGTAGGGAGGACATGAAGCAGGCTAGCAACCCTATCCTGTAAAAATAAACACTGCTACAGAAACTTCAAGCCTCTAGCCTGAAGCCCCTTATGTTCCACTGGGAACGTGAAGGAATAAATAAGAATGTTTCCTATTGAAGTTATAATTCGTATTTAATAATAATCCGCACTGCACATTCGTAAATCAGATATGCTATATAGTTGATAATTTTTTTGATTTATCATGCATTTTCTCTTCCCTCTCACCGAATAACAGAGTGAAAAACTTGAATTAATGAGAAGTTTATCTCATGGTAGCGCAGATGCTGGACCAGGTTATCCACCTCGTGGTGGAGCTGCTGGTCGTTGGGGTGACCGTGGTGGTGGTGGTGGCGGTGTTCCTAATTATCCTCGCGGTGGACGTGGACGCAGACCAGGACGTGGTGGTTTATTGCATCCTCCAATGAATGCCAATGGTGGTCCTAACCATTCACATTATACAGATGATGAGAATCCAATCCCATATCGTGGAGCTCGACGAATGGTATGTAAAATAGTCAGCTATGGTTTTACGCTTCTCCTAATATGCATTGGTCTATTTCACTCTTGAAGTCTTTTTGGTTTCTAGTATAACGGTATAGTATAACGTCTCTGGGTTTGTTTGACGTTCATAATAATAATAATAATAATAATCTATCTTTAAGTCATATTAGGATGTGGGAACTTAGACGTCTTTAGTTGTGTGTAACTTGGCCCACCTGCGCTAAAGTACCCTTTGATTTCCACGTAATGTGTTTGCGGGACTTTTGACTGTTTGACTGCTGTACTTTATATCGTCTCCCGATGAGCTCTAGTGTGGTGTATTCTCAACAACCACCTGCCATTCCATGCAACTGGGAATGATCTACACTTATTGTATGACGACTATTGGTATTACTTGGCTGCCAGAACCTCAGTGGTAGTTGAAGTAGGGTTCTATCCAAAGGTTCGAACTCTAGTATGCGTGTAGACCAATGAATCACAACTCCGCCTAATCTCCTGTTACAAATATATCAATGTTCTCTGAATCGTCTTGACTTTCAAGTCCTACACTTGTAATCGCGTCCGGGTAACACATTATTTTTGGTGGAAGTTTCCATTCTTGATTGGATCTTACTAATCATCAGCTGCGCACCATCCTATCCAAGCTGTGCATTCTGCTACAAAGGTATTCTCGTTGGCGGTGTTATCGTAAATTTTTTATTGTTATTTTTTCATATGAACTGTGTGCATGTTTAGTGCTTGCCGTCACTTAGAGGAGTGAAAACAAATCCCAATTTTTGTCTAAAAAATGCTATTTAAAAAACTATATTTTAGCCTCGTGAAATGCAAGGCCCTCGAGCTCCTGGTGGAAGAGTACCTCGCCAAGGTGGTGGGAGAAGCGGTGGTCGACGCATGGGTGGTCCAAATCGTGATTCTGACTGGAATGCTCACGCAAGTAGTAATGGTGATGTTGCTGATCGTCGTCGTGGATCACAGGACTCGGATGTCATAGAATCTAACAATTTACCTGATGGAGTATCAGGAGACCGTACAAACGGTGGTGGTAGACACAATAGAGTTACACGCCCTCCACCTGCGCACAATGGATTTTATTCTGATAGAGAACGTGGAGATGATAGTGAGGATACGCCTAATCAAGGTGATGAGAACAATTTCCCGTGTGGTGGTGATGCATCTTCAGAAGACGATGGTGGATGTTCAGTGGATGGTATGCGTCCAAGGATGAACAAATCTGTACATAATCGGTAAGTAGTGTGTCCAATTGTCTTAAGGTTTTTTTTCCTTTTTTCATTATCTCATGGAAATTTGCCTTAGAATAAATTACGAGAAAAATTCAGTCTGCGAGCGAATACCTATCGCCTCAGCGTATTTCAATGAGCGCCATTGACTGTCTTTATGAAATAACTTTAAAAGCTGTTTTGACATCGATCTTGTAGGTCATTTCGACTAGATGTTTAGCTATAGACGAAGTGGGTAGGTAGGTAGTCTACCATCTGCGTCTATTGATTTGCCAAAGTGTATCTGTTTTTCTAATCACTTCGGAATATGCTCTCCCACCGTCATATGGAATGCGCGATCACTCTCCCTCCCCCCGCCATATATGTTTGTATCCACAAACGCATGTAAACTGGTAAATGGTGTGGGATGTGACGTCATCATTTGAGCAAATTTGCGGTTTGTAGTGGAGTAGATTACTGGCTTTTTCAATAATAATAATAGGCCGGGCTACACTGCTAGGTCCTCCTGCTACGGATGATTGAGTTTGGCCTCAGTCTCAAAGTCCTACTATTTAATTCCCCATTATACGGTTGCTTTAATGAAAACACCTTTCTTAGAGATTGTAGGCTTGAAAACTAACACTGACTTCTCGTCAGACATATGGTAATAATGAAATCTTTTTTCCATGTGTAGTTTTGGGTCACTTAAAAAAATGTAATATAGTGAGTTTTGATTAACTTTATTCATTAGGGGTTCAACAAGTCGAATGTCTGTCTGGTTTCAACATAGAACTTTGCACCGATGTGCAGCACTTCGAGTTGCCACACTTCACTCAACACACTAAGCCAGAAAAGAAAGTGGAAGAAGTGCATAATAGAGACAGTAGACAGGGGTTTGAGACAAAAGGAATACTAATATCGAAGAACAATATAGTTTCATTGAAAATCATAGGTCACAAGGAGTGTATGCATCTGCACCACCCATTGAGAACGATTTTGAGCCATATCACTGATTGTCTACAGCGATTGGTGTTTACCGTCCCGGGGGACACCAACCAGGTAGTCTACATCATCCTACGTGACTGGCTTAAACTAACTGTTGTAGATTTCATTGACTGATGAAGCCATGTTGGTTTTAGTTTGACCAGCACTAGCTCTTTTCCAACCTGAGCGGTCCTATGTCAGTTAACATAGACCGTCGGTCGAGGAAGGCGATGGCTAGGCATGCATGCGTAACACATATCCTAACCATCTGAATCGATATAACTTCACAACCTCGTCGATTGATTTCCCCTCCTCTCCTCACCTAGCACTCGACGCCTAACCTGAATACTGCTTGCCCTGTTATATCAATCTCCACGGGAGATAGAACTCGGACACCTATGTTGAAAGACAGCTAGGCTTTTCATGCCCTCTACTCTCCATGGCCAGGTCTCGCTCACAGCCATAAAGGAGGATGGGGTGGACTGCTGAGCAGTGCACACGCCCTTTAATCGGCAGCCAACTGGTTATCACGTCTATTTGAAGCGCTTTTCCAACCTAGTCTTATGTTAGCTTACACTTGTCAACAAAGAAAACGGTCACTTTACGTATGTTTCATACGTCTCAAGACATTCCAACTGAAACGTATGTAGCTTCAAAACCTTATCAACTGACTCCTTCTCCTTACCCCTAACACTTCGCCTAGGCTAAATAGTGTTCAACGTATGATACTATCACCAGCTTGAAAGATTAAACGTAAACACCTATTGTCATAATTTCCATGGGCAAGTTTCACAGACATGATCATGGATAAGGCGTATCTGTAGTCCTTCTGGGTTGATATATCACCCAGTCGTGTTCAATCAGAGCTAAGCTAATCATTGATTTGCTGAGTTGGATGACATTTCTCTATTAATATTACAAGTTAGTACCAATTTAGCTTCTCACAATGACATGTCTTATTTGGTTTTAGGATTTCATCTTTCAGCTGGTATCAGTTAGAGGACTCTTAGAGAGAACTCCTAGTTCGAAGATGGGACGAAACAGCTGTCCAGTACTCGCTGGCCGCTTTTCCAATGGTTCTCTAACCAATGTCAGCTCATGATGAAATCCCATTACTGATGAATCAAAGCCCCACAAACCGAAACCTGAATTCCTTGGTTCTGTTGAAAATTAAGGAGTAGGTAAAAGCTGGTTATTGTAAAATACCAAGATTAAGGCGTATGGGAAAGCCAGTTTTGAGCTCATGATAATTGTTTAAATAGGAAAAGTATTTCTCCATATTTTTTGTGTGTCTGTTGACGGGAGTAGTGTGTATGTGTGTAGTTATTTCTGTATGCCTTAAATTTTGCGTATTTTCCTCACACAATTGACGTTTATTTAACTCTGTTCCACTTTCCTTTTCTTTATCTTCTTCTTCATCAGTCCTAATGCTGGTGCATATCCCCCACGTCGTTCACGTCAAAGTCGTTCACAAAAATCTAATCAATGGAATACTGCTAAGGCTCAATTATTAAATAATGAGTCATCGACCACCACCACCACCGGTACTGGTAATAGTAGCCAGAAATCACGAGTAGTAAGTGGAAGTGGCAGCGGCGTAGGCAGTGGAGCTAATCCATCAGGTAGACAGCAGTCAACAGCTCAAGTATATCAGGAATAAAAACAAAATAAACAAACATGTGTATACTGCACACATAGAGACACACACACGCTAACGCTTGTTCGCCCAACCACACACGCACGCACTCATTCTCTAGTACTTCTTCTCAGTTAGTTCGGTGAAGTTTACTCAAATTGTGCTTTTGCCTGTTCGTTTGTTTGTTTGTTTGTTCTTTTTGTGCAGTTACTTTTCTGGAGTACCACAGCAATAGAAATTATACACTGTCATATATATATATATATGATAAATGCTCACGCATCTGTATTTCTTTCTAGTTTTTTTCTGTTGCTGTTTTTATGATCTCTTAGTTTTTCTTAAAAATTTTGTTTGTTTGTTTATTCTCTCTCTCACCGAATTTGTTATTACTGTTTGTTATTCATAAATTGAGATATCCACACACATATACATATGTATACTGCTCAACCACCCATCCACCTATATTCACACATATAGTGCTATCAAAATTTTGTCGGTGAACAAAAGCTCGGCTTTAAAACAAAAACAAAAACGAGGTTTTGCTGCCCCCTTCCTGATTCTCGTGTACACCTTCATTTACAGAAACACTTTAAGTCTTTGCATATAAAATAAATTTTGAAATTCAATATAAAAACCTGTGATTAGTGTTTATTTCTCTCTCTTTCTCTGTGTGTATGTGTGTGTGCGAGTGCGGGGGGCGGGTGCATGTAACATGTACGCTAGCGTTGTGTGCGTATGCGCGTGTGTGTTTATGCGGTTTTGCTAAATATCTTCTTCTCTCTCTCCTCTCTCTGTCGCCCAAATCCCGCTGCTGCAATTCTCTAGTTTCCATTGAATTTATTTCATTTATATTTTTTTCTAGTTATATAGGAAGTGTTCAGTTTTGATCTTTCTCTGTTATCCTGTCCACACATGCATGCATGAGTGTGATTGGAATGAGCAAGCCACCGAATGAGTACTATAACCAATTCTTCAGGTAACCCCCCTCCATACACATATACCTTATGAATAGTTGTATTGCATTCATTACTCTGTATTCTTCTTCCTTTTCCTGCCCCCCCTTTCTGCACGATCTTGCACGTATATAGAAAACTAGCAGAGAGAGAGAGAGAGAGCACCTAATCGATTTGTTGCTTTCATGATTACCACCCCACCCCTTCCAGCTTCTGCTATCCTCCACCCACCCACCCCCCACCGCACACACATACTCACTCACCCAACCTCTAAATTGCCACTTATTATAACTATTGTTATCATTATCATTAATTGACAGTGTGTTGTTTCTTCTCTTATTTGTTTGCGTGTGTGTCTGCGTGCGCGTATCAATTTCTCCGGTATATTCTATATCCATATGCATATATACTAAATATGTGTGTGTATATTTCCGTAAAGTATATAAGTCTTTTGAACAAATACGTATATGCATATACATATATTTGTTATATACATGTTTTTCTCTTGCATTCAGTTCTTTTTGTTTTGTTTTTTACTAGTTTTTCCTCTGTTTTCCCCTTTATATATATACACATTGAACATATATATACGTAGATATATTATGTGCCTTTTCAAGTCACTTGAAAGCTCTGCTAAAGGGGGAGAGAGAGACAGGCAATGAGAAAGATCATCAGCTGTTATTTCACGTATTCATCTGTATTTCAGAGAGAGTGAAGCTTATAATAAAATACAAGAGAAAGAAAAACGGATATTAAAAAAATATATAGACATATATGTATGTTCTGGTGGTTTCAAATGTATGCATTCTGAATAAACATATTTATATACATATATGTATTCTCACAGTTTGTGTAAATTTTATTCATCTGTGTGTTGTTTGTATGTGTGTGTGTGATTGAGTGACATTAGCACTTTTTGTTATTCATCTCAATAATTAATTGTCTTCCAGACTTCTTCTTTTTCTTCTTGTTGCTGTCCTTGTTCTTGTTTTTTTTTTGCTAAAGAAAAATGAATATTGTTCTCAAAGTAAGCGACCTTGAGTTATTCTTATTTCTCGTTTCTCATCACCACCATGAATAATGCTGTGTGTGCATACGTGTGTTGTTACACACTGAAAGTGTACTTACTGCTGAAAGGTGTGTTCATCACCTGTTTTTCATCGTTGCTGTTGGTGTTGATAGTTCCCTGTTCATGTTTCCTTCCCACCCCGCAAATTGGACATACATACATGGAAACAAACATACCTTGATTCGTTCAATCGAATTATTATTACTTTATTTGGTTTGTCTCCTTGTTCTCAGTGTAATAGAAGGCGATTTGAGAAATATATGTGCGATACTAAAAAGCCACTACTTTGAAACTAATCCTCGAATTATTTTTAGTTGACTAAAAAATAATTAAGAGTTACGTTTATTTGGGTATTATCATACGTCTACTAGTCCTTGATGGTGGTTTCCTGTAGACTGAATTCTATCGTCAGTCAAAGTTGGCACGACATAATGGTACACTGTGAATTCATATAGTAATACTAGTTGGGTGCACCAAACACAAACGATTAGCTACTAATTAGTCTCGATTCAAAGTATATTCATCCAGCGCCAATCACCATCGCAACGGGAGTGATTTGAAAGAGGTTACTTTATTCACTTATCTTATCAAGGGAGCATTGTCTCAACTGAAGCCAGTCGGAACGGACGAGGATGTCAAATCGAGCGAGAATCGGGAAGGCAGGCGAGAAACACATTCATCAACCTGAAACAACCAATCTGGAAATTTTCGTCACTCAGCCAGCATCAATAACAACATTCAGTCGGATTTTCAATACAAACAACGTCAAGTCAGTCAGTCCTTCTATACGGAACGGATGAGAAACTTGGCGGGCGGGTCACAAAGAATATTTCCAACAGGTTATTGCAGACCTTCATCATCAATAACTGTCTTCGCTGGCTCTATACTGAAGATCAGGTGGCCGGGCCGGAAAGAATCACCAACAAGAAACTATGGGAAGAAACAAACAAAACAAGAAGCAATCGCCCAACACATATGCAGGAGAAAGTGGAGGTGGATTGGACACTCGCTCGCTGAGGAGGCCGCGGCTGGGTGATATCGCGCACGCGTCAGGCCATTGCTCGAGTGGAACCAGACTGAAAGGGAAGCGGCGAATGGGACGTCAGTGCAAGGGTGACATGGAGGAGATCGTGTGAAGAGAAGTTGAAAGAGTATGGACTAACATGGATGCAGGTGAAAAGTGCAGCAGAAGGAGACGACAGAAGCAAGTGGAGACGTGGAGTTGAATCCCTATTTTCCACTAGGAACCCAAGGGAACAGTAATGATAATAATAACAAAGTATATCCAACACAGTTGTACAAAAGATGAGTTACGAGCCTAAGAATAGCTCAGTATTGGTAACGTCTCCGACTGCAGTAATACTAGGTGTAGTCATGGATTCTAACCTCAGAAGAGATGTGAGTCAAGATTTCCGATATGCCTTGCCCTGTGACTAATAAGTGTCAACATGCATGATGCCAAGCTTCTTGTCCATTGTCTGCAACCGTCTACTAGTTGAAAATTGATTTTCCCATTGACTGGTTCTTTTATACTTAGTTCTCACGGCTTTGTTTATAACATTTCAGAGTTTGAAGTGGTAGATGCGTGTTGGAGTTCCAGTGAGAATAATAATAATTTGCCTTATTCCAGAACAGTGCTTGTGATAGACAATGCAATTCTCAGCATTTTACTATATTATTGCATCCAGTTAGTACATTAACAATAAATAAAAATTTCACATAGATTAAGGGTAATCCCCGTTAGTTTTGACAACCACATATTGGCATATCGGTAGCAAAGCCAAAAGTGAACAGAATGTTTCAAGGTGTTAGAAGAGTAGGTGCTAGCGTATTTACTGGCGTAAGCGGTAACAAAAAGGTCGAGATATACAGGAAGTGAAAGAACGAAGAAGATTGTTTTAAATAGAGTTTGTAAGGAAGAGAAAAACAAAACAGCACATAACAGAAAAAAATAGAGAAAAGGAAAAGAGAAAGAAAAACGTTGTACCTATAAGTGATATGAGTTGGAAAGACGAGATCCAGTTGTTCTTTTGACTTTCTAATAAGTTATAAGTTTTACGCTCAGTGCTCTCTTCATCGCACAGAACACGAGCTAAGTAGGGTATAGTTGAGTTTTTGTACTTGCTAGTGCGAGAATATAGTTTTTTCTATATAGCCTTCTGGTTCTGCCTGATGAGATACAAGGTGGGGGCGGGGGAGAGTTGTGAATGAAGAGGGTGGTGTGAGTTAGATAAAATGGATTTAGCCCATTTTTCACATGAGTCAAAGTGCCTGTCGACCAGAATATTAACAAGCTCGTTAAGTGGCACATTGCTTACCCTGCTGATAACCTTTAACATCCTGCGTAATAAGGTATAGTCTTTCTTCAGTAGCGCAGGAAAAACTCAGGGGAAACAATGGAGAATAATAGTCAGAATGCAAGAGTTGACGAATCGTAGGAGTAAGGGTTGGGTGGGTTATTCCAGAATGTCTTCTTGATGTAGAAGGTAAGACGGAATATTTTAGAAATTATCAAGATATGAGACGACCAGGAAAGATCAGCAGATAAAATGACGCCAAGGTATATAATTTGCGACTTGGTTTCTGTTTCAGTGTCATCTATGTTACAGACCTCTGTCTCTGTCTGTCTGTTTTCGACATAGAACTTTGCACAAATGTGCGGAAGTTCAAGTCGCCACACTCCGTGTAGCACGCGAAGCAAGAGAAGAAAGTACAAGAAAAGCATAATAGAAACAGTGAGCACAGGTGTGAGACAAAGGAGTAATAAAGAAAAACAAAACAGTTTCATTGGAGATCATAAGTCACAAGGAGTGGATGCATCTCTGCCGGCCACTGAGAACGATTTTGAGCCATGTCACCAATTGTTTCCAACCATAGATTTTTACCGTCCCGAGAACCCCAGCCTGGAAGTCTACACCTTTCTACGTGGCTTAGACCAATTGTTGTGGATTTCATTGACTGGTGCCATGTTTTTGTTTGACCGCCGCTAGCTTTTTTCCAGC